CTTATTCCACTGTTATCAGCATTCACGAATCCCATCTTGTTAGTTAACTGAAGCTGCTATCTGGGATAAAAATGCCAAGAGGGCAATCAGCCCCACTGTAAGCAAGGGGCTGAAACACTGTAAGCAAAGAGGCTGCACTTACTCTCTAAATTCATCCACTTTGTTGAAAGCCCGTTACAAACTACAGAGCAACACAAACCCCTCGCCTGCAGCAGGACCAGCCATCCATGACCACAGAGGAGGTAACCTTTTGTTTGCAGTTTGGTTTTTAACCAGAGTAATACTCTGATCGCCCTCATTTTTACTCGCTTCCTTTCCCTTTCTGCAGCTTCCCCCAGGCATCAAAACAAGTGATGAGCAGCTTCTGCAAACAGCTTGGTGCCAGTGGCACAAATTGGTCTACTGCAAATGCGCTTTTGATTGTTTCCATGATAAACCTCCGTCACCAACTCAAGCACGTGGGGATGGGCGCTATGGAGAGCAGCCTCACAGAACAACGAAAGCCATCAATCAACTCCAAGTCAGCTGTTTAATTATGGGGATCATAAAGATTATGATCCAATTTATTTCCGGCCTGGATGTGCGTAGGGCACTTTTCCAACCAGTTCTCCTGTGGGTAATGCTCTCTGTGGTTCATCTCCAGGCAGTTAAAGCAAAGGAGAACTACGTTTATGGTAGGCCTCTTGTACACGGGCTTTTATGTGAACTTAGAAACAAATGTACTTAAAACAATTTATTTGCTTCTCCAGCATTTATGGCACCTCTTGCTTTCGCATCCAAGTACTGCAGCTCTGAGTGAAAGAGAAAGCATTATCGTTTATCATTATGGATTAGACCCTGGCAGATTTCCCAGAAATCAAGTTTTATTTGCCCAATCACGAAAATGATGCTGCACTAAGGCATCTGATTTTGGATGCTACTAGACTACACTCTGGAGCTATGAGGGATCGCTGACAGAAGGGGCTGGGTATGCCAGGTGGGGAGAACGGACTGGAAAAGGTGGCGAGGGAGAGAAGTGAGGCTGCAGGCTGCAGCACATGTATGGCTACAGGTTGCAAGGGAGGATCACATTCAGTGGAGCAAGATTTCCTTTCTGCAGATCATGGCTGGTGGACTGAAGCTTAGAGGGAAGCCTGGAAAGGGCTGGCTGGAATGGATAGCCAGGGATAGTGGGGTATCACAGATATGGGGGGCGGGAATCTAGGCAGAGGGCTGCAAAAAAGGAATGAGAACGGGTTGAGGAGGCAGCAGGGCTTCAAAGTCAAATGCCCGAAGGGACAACTGTGCTCACACAAGTCTTACCTCCTGCAGAAACAGAGACCTCATCTTGTAGACAAACCTTAGCTCCTGGTTTAAAGGCTTCCAAAGACAGTGGATCCATCAGTATACAAGGTAAGTTGTTTCAGTGGAAATTATCCTCACTGCTTACCACTCTGGCGTTATTCTGAGTCAGAATTGGTCTAGCTGCAGCCTCCAGCCCCTGGATATGGTTATACCTTGATCTGTCAGATGGGAGGCCCCTCTTGCATTAGATCTTGATGCCCATCTAGATCCTTAAAGCATATGACTGAGTTGTATCTTCACTTTCCTCCTGAAAAGCGAATTAGCTTGAGTGCCTTCAGTCTCCTGCCACAACAAGGGTCAGCAAAGAAACAACTCGGCTCAGGTCTGAGGCAGGGCAGCAAGTCCGACCCAAGCACTGCCACTGCTTCTCCTCGCTGCCCAGACCTGGCATGGGCAAAGCCCCTAGCTCCTGAATGCCACCAAAGCCCCCCAGCTCTGCGAGCCTGATCCAACAGCACCGTGGGTCGTTAAGTCGCTGACCCCTGTACTATGAGGTAGGTTTCTGCTCCTTTCACCTCCCTTGTCTGGACTCTTGCCACATTTTCAGCATTTTCCTGACATGTGGATGGATGTGCATCTGGTATTTCAGTAGCTGCTGCACCATGCCAGATACGAAGGCAGCACAGCCTCAGGTGGCTGGAGGGTGCAGGACCACCTATCCGGGGTGGCTGGTACAAGAATTACCTAGTCTGGAAATGTCTGGATGCCATGTAGTGAAACCTTTAACTGACAACTTTCTCTAGAGCAGCGGTGTCAAACTTATGGTCCACAGGCCAGATCCAGGCCACGGAGCCCCGCACAGTGAGCTGGACCGGCTCACAATGACCAGGACATGTTTTGCATGTGCCACTCATTGGGGCTGGGTCCTAGGCTGCGCCGACCACGGTGCTTGCTGAGGATGGGACCAGGACCACAACATCCGCTTGGGCTGGTATCCCCAACTGGTGAGTGCTGCACATCCTGGATCAGGAGTTTGGGGGGGGTGGAAATATCATCTATGGGCCTAATCCGGCTGAGACTGGCTCAGTGAAAGTAACACCGGTAGCCAAACTACCTTCGTTCCTCCCTGAAACACAACACACCAGCGCTACAAAGTCTATTCATCACAGCCCTGCCTCTTATTTGTGCGGAAGCACAGTAATACCTGGAGTTGAGTCATACCAAGATTGTAACAACAGTCAAGCTTACCAACCATACCGTACCAAGCTTACCACACCAAGGTTAAATCAACACTCAAAACCGTGTGTGACCCAAAGTCAGGTATCATCTGATCATCATTTAGATGGGTATCATTAAAGACAAAATTCCTGCCTATGCCAGACTGTATAAATGTGCCCACTGTATTCAAGCAGGGGCTATTCACAGCACAGTGTGGCATCCAATCACATACTGAAGATACCAAGAGCTGCAGTGGGAAGAGGATTAATTCTTGGAGATTCGTGACGCGTTGGGCGTGAGCACCTCTCTCATCGTTTAGCATCTGTTTCGTTCTGAAGAAACACATATCAACACCCTTAGCTGACTCGGCTAAGATTTTTCTATGGGAACAAGCATTACGTTTCAACAACCCTGTCCAGCAGATGAGGGTTATTGCCATCTTGCAGAACAGCTGACCAGGGGAAGTGACAGCCAAGCCAAGAGTCATAACGAATTGGTGGCAAAGGAGTTCCGAGTCCCAGCTTCTTGCTCTAAGCAGCAGACCAGCATGTCTCCTTAGGACATTAACAGGAATGATGAAAAAACATCCAGGTGGCAAATATCATTAGTGAAACAGGAAAAGAATCACCAGGCCACCAAGCTCCTGGTAGAGATGTCCAGTGCTGAACACAAGGCAGACCCCGAATGTAACTTTACGTATGGGAAGACGGCTCAAACCCTTTGAGAGAGAAAGCATGGAAGTAATACGTCTCTTAACAACCTCCTCCCTTATGCTATGGAATGATCATTTCCTTTGCTTTCATGTTCATTTGGAATCTGATAATGAATTGCTCACAGTTTCCTACCAGAGTTTATCTGCCATTGTTTAGGATTTACATTACTCAACAGGAAATCCACGAGAGGTCCTGCGATTGGAAAGGTGTGTTTCCCAAACCGACCCACCCTCACTAGCTCAAAGCTGGGAATCGGATCTCCTACAGAACTACGCCCAGGTTAGCAGAGGACGTCATGGGAACAAGAGCTGAGGCCTTCTAGTGCTGCTACGTTAAAAGCGACATATGCTTCCTTTGCCCCGAACAAGATATGCTCTACCCGCCAGGACGTGCCCTTGGGTTCATCTTGCTCTCTTCAGCAGTAGCTGTCTGCATGACCTTGGATTCTTTGTTGAACTGCTGATAATGTTATCTGAGCGTGTACAGCTCCCCACAGAGCAGTCCCCATGGCTATATGAACAAAGGACCCATGACTGCAAGATTTCCCTTGGTTAAATTCACATTGTTAATGTGTGAAACACCCCTCTAGAAGCCATCTCTTGCTTTGGGAACAAGATTTTCTGAGCAAGGAACAGTGCTCATGGGAAATAATTCAGTTTGTGATATAGAAGCCCACAGGGGACTGTAATTAGGCCAAACTAATTCTTCACTGTGTTGTCAAGCAGGTTTTAGAATCCTAGAAAATGAAGGTTGGAAGGGACCTCGGCAAGTGACATCTAGTCCAACCCCCTGCTCCAAGCAGGACCAGCCCCAACTACATCATCCCAGCCAAGGCTTTGTCTTCCCAGCTCTTAAAAACTTCCAAGGATGGAGAATCCACAAATCAAAAGGCAACAGTTTAATGCAGCAGTTACCCCAGCACAACTGATATGATCCCAAGGAAGAAGCCACTTCGCTTCTGCCCTGATTATTGAAACACATCCCCCTTTCCCATATACACAATTCAACTCGCTTGAGTTGCAGTTCAGTTCTTTGCCCTGCACCCAGAACTGAAATGACTGCAGCGGGAAAATGCGACTGATCCAAGCCCGACGTAGTGGAGGGAACCGTGCTTTCGAGAAGAGCCTGTTTTATTGCAGAATGCATGCTCACGGCATCTAACTTCCTTGATCACATCGCTGTATCATTATCATTTATTTAAATGTATCAGATACTTAGCTACAGCTTTATAGGTGTTATAAGAGCTTGTGAAGAATTCAGTACGAGTGCTCACATGTCACTGAATGTTTTGTCCAGGAGATTTCAACAGGATTCCCTCTACAGTTCCCTACTGCACTGGTGCAATGTGGGCCAGTGATATTGCAAAGAAAACTTGGACGCACAACCTTACAGTTTTGCTCGTGTCTCATCCCTGCTAGGAGTCTCTAGACTGATCAACAGACCACAAGAGTCCCACTTGGCTTTGCCGTAGTAAACCACAGAATCATAGGTTTTGATTGCGACCTCAAGGGTAACCCAGCCCACCCCCCTGCAGAGAAGCA